TGAATGAAAGGATTCATCCGTGTTATCACTGAAGAGCTTGGGGCCTTCGAATGGAAGTTCTTCCACTATATTCTGGACTTCCCTGGGGAAGGAGGGCTGTAGCCATGAAGCATGGTGCATAGCTATGTCAGCTGCATCCAAAGAAGCTTGCAAAGAGGGTTTGGCAATCCTCTGACCTTCAGTGACAAGAGCCTGGAACTGGGTCCTTCTGGTTTTGTGGCCAATAATTAATAAAAGAGAACTTGCTGAAATTTGCATAGTCATATTTAGCTACCATGAATTGTAACACTGCCAAAGAACAGCTTTTTTCAGAAAGGTCGAGACACACAAACTCTGTTTCTCTCATTTACAACATCAACACTAGGGAATTCAGGAAGAGGTGGAAAAAGAAATATTCTGAGCCACTGGCAGGTACACAGTCCTTCTTGTCCACCCTCTTGCAAGTAAGCAGTATAGTGTCTGGTGTCTGCAATATTATTTGGGCTGGTAACAGAAGAACATAATTTCTAGGTAAGGCTATCTCGCCTTTGGGAGAAGTGTGTAGGATATCTGCCAGGGCAGGTTGTGGTTCCTGGCCTCTTCCAAGGAGATTTATAAGGATTTGACTATGACCTTCAAGAGCTCTTGGAAGACTGACATCATTTGCAAAGGATGGGAGAAGAGGCTACCTGCCTTGTCTGGTGAGGAAGAGGAACTTGTTAGATGGCACTGCCTTTTCCTCAACTTTTGAGGGTCCTCTTGAGGAAGGTGGTCTTGAGGTACATGTGACTGCACCTCTTGGCAGTTCCTCTTTTGTCAGGATACCTACTAAAGAAATAGTCTCCATACAGGACCTTAGATTCCAAAAGGCCCACTGTGGTGGGTCATAAGGGGAGGAGGAGGAGCTCTGAAGGTACTCCTGCCATGGAGGTTGTCAGATCAGTTGTCAACTGGTTCCTAGAGTCTCTTCCTTAGGATATACCTCAGGGAACGGAGGTTCAAATGGGGTGCAACTTCTCTCATCTGTCAAGTCGCAGCTTATCATTGGCTAGATTTTTTTGTTTTGTTTTGTTTCCCCCAGCTAGTCCTTCATGTCTGGGAGGCAGAAAAATTTCTCTCAGTGGAGAACTTCCAGAACTGAAGAATATTCCTGTCCTATACTTGTTAACTGAAGATGCCTGGTTAGAAGTAATCATCTGGGGCATGATTACACCAGTGTGTAAAATCTACCACAGAAAACCATCAGCAGATATGGACATTTTTATTTACTATGAGGCAGTTTGTACCATGAACGTAAGATGGCTTTAGACCTAACAGTAATCACAGACATGGAGGAAAAGGAAATAGGCAGAAATGACTAAAAGGGACTACTACAGGGAAAACTGGATCAAGGTTGGTTGTTGATGGAAGGATACCTCACAGGTCCCTATCAGTCTGAGCTCTTGTCCAAAATGTTGGCCAACTGGCTTATGAGGCAGAAACAGATAGTCAGAAAAAGAAAAATATGCTTCTTTTGTACAGCACAGCACACATTTAACTGCTGACAACTCCAGATAGTTTAACACTTTCCTAGTTTGTTTGCTTCCTCATTCTCCTATTTGTCCACTTCAGGCAAAGTTTTGGAAACACTACTAGCTCATTTTCCTCCAGCATCACCTGGATAATGAAAGCCCAGTAAGTTCTGTTCTTCCTTGGATGAGAAAAACTTGGGCATTTCCTTGCATGGCCTATAGCTACCATATAGATATACTTCACTACAGGTTGCTGAAGAAACCTATATCATTGCATTCAATGATGGAGGATTACCAAGAGGAATATACCTCTGCCTTCTACTTCTTTCTGGGCTTGCCAGACATTCCTGTGCAATTTGTGGTCTTGCAGCAACTCAATGAAAAGGATCAACTCCTAGCAGGGAAGTCTTCAGGACAACAATGCATAGCCTAGGCAGAAGATCAATGCTTAGAATCTGAAGGACCTCCCAGCGCAGAATATTTAACATATTGCTTAATTTACACCGGGTGACTGACTGACCTGTGACAACAATTAATGTCCACAGACCAAGAAAAGAAAATGGCATTTAGTGTACAATAAAGAGCTACAAGTTAATAAAAACTGATGACATCACTACTTGGAATATTAAAATATCTGAAAAGCTGGTAGAGAATTAATTTTATTTATCATAGGTACTGTTTAGAAGAGTAGTCTTATTATTTTAATATTAAAACTAAACAGACTATCATCAGCTCAATATATGCCATCCTGTACAACAATTTTTCTTTTTAAAACTAACCAGTGAGAATTTTCATCTAGATAAGGACTCATCACCTTAGGTTTCATCTAGATAAGGACACCTACATCTATGGCTTCATGCAAGTCTATGTTGTTTTTAACTTCCTTTTGTTAGGAGGTGATTATACTCTTCTGCAGCATGCCTTCAAAAATTTGCTAGACCTTGCCAGTCAAGGTATATAAATAACAGGGCTGGCAAGTGATTAAAAAAATTAATCGCGATTAATTGCGTGATTTAAAAAATTAATCGCAATTAATCATACTGTTAAACAATAGAATACCATTATTCGATTAGTTTGGGACATTTTCAACATTTTGAAATATATTGATTTCAATTACAACACATTGATTTCAATGTACAGTGTCATTTTATTTTGATTTTTACAGTGCAAATATTTTTTAATTCACCCAATAAAAGTACTGTAGTGCAATCTCTTTATCATGAAAGTTGAACATACAAAAGTAGAATTATGTACCAAAACAACTGTAGTCAAAAATAAAACAATGTAAAACTTTATAGCCTAAAAGTTCACTTAGTCCAGGGGTAGGCAACCTATCGCACGCGTGCCGAAGGCGGTAAACAAGCTGATTTTCAGTGGCACTCACACTGCTCGCGTCCTGGCCACCTGTCCGGGGGGCTCTGCATTTTAATTTAATTTTAAATGAAGCTTCTTAAACATTTTAAAAACCTTATTTACTTAACATACAACAATAGTTTAGTTATATATTACAGACTTATAGAAAGAGACCTTCTAAAAATGTTAAAATGTATTACTGGCACACGAAACCTTAAATTAGAGTGAATAAATGAAGGCTCGGCACACCACTTCTGAAAGGTTGCCGACCCCTGACTTAGTCCTACTTCTTGTTCAGCCAATTGCTCAGACAAACAAATTTGTTTACATTTGCAGGAGATAATGCTGCCCACTTTTTGTTTACAATATCACTTGAAAGTGAGAACAGGCGTACACACAGCACTGTTGTAGTCGGCATTGCACGATATTTATGTGCCAGATGCACTAAAGATTCACATCTCTTCATGCTCCAACCACAATTCCAAAAGACATGCTGATGATGGGTTCTGCTCGATAAACATCCAAAGCAGTGCGGACCGAGGCACGTTCATTTTCATAGTCTGAGTCAGATGCCACCAGCAGAAAGGTTGATTTTCTTTTTTGGTGGTTTGGGTTCTGTAGTTTCCATATTGGAGTGTTGCTCTTTTAAGACTTCTGAAAGCATGCTCCACATCTTGTTCCTCTCAGATTTTGGAAGGCACTTCAGATTCTTAAACCTTGGGTCAAGTGATGTAGCTATTTTTAGAAATCTCACATTGGTACCTTCTTTGCGTTTTGTCAAATCTGCAGTGAAAAGTGTTCTTAAAACGAAAAACATGTGCTGGGTCATCGTCCGAGACTGCTATAACATGAAATATATGGCAGAATGCAGGTAAAGCAGAGTAGGAGACATACAATTCTCCCCCAAAGAGTTCAGTCACAAATTTAATTAATGCATTATTTTTTTAACGAGCATCATCAGCATGGAAGCATGTCATCTGGAATGGTGGTCGAAGCATGAAGGGGCATATGAAAGTTCAGCATAAGTGTCATGTGAACTCCTGTGCTCGCTTTCAGGGGACACTGTAAATAAGAAGCGGGCAGCATTATCTCCCGTAAATGGAAACAAACTTGTCTGTCTTAGCAATTGTCTGAACAAGAAGTAGGCCTGAGTGGACTTGTAGGCGCTAAAGATTTACATTGTTTTATTTTTGAGTGCAGTTATGTAACAAAACAAAAAAAAAATCTACATTTGTAAACTGCACTTACGTGATAAAGAGATTGTAATACAGTACTTGTATGAGGTGAATGAAAAATACTCTCTCTTTTGTTTGCCATATTTACAATGCAAATATTTGTATTAAAAATAATAATGTAAAGTGAGCAGTGTACACTTTGTATTCTGTGTTGTAATTGAAATCAATATATTTGAAAATGTAGAAAAACATCCACAAATATTTAATAAATTTCAATTGATATTCTATTGTTTAACAGTGTGATTAAAACTGCGATTAATTTTTTAAACCGCTATTAATTTTTTTGAATTAATCGCGTGAGTTAACTTCGATTAACTGTCAGCCCTAATAAATAACATTAATAAACTTTTAATGATAATCATTTTTATGCCACCTTATATCCATAATCCTCAGAGCAACCTTACAACCTTAAGTTTGGTGTTGTGTTTCTTGTTAAAAGCTATCTAGTATCTTTGTATTCCTAAGATGAAGCATGATGCTCAGCATCATCACAAATTTTATGCTGATGTTTACTTTTTATTTTTTAATGACCTGATAATAGAAGTCTAGAACAAGTTAATTATATTTATATAAATGTTTCTACACATTTGTGTTGAAATTTAGACATAGTATAACTATAATCACTACCTCAACACAGCTTAGTATATTATAACACTTTTGCCATAATGAGCAATTTATCTCTTGTGCAAGGAAGAGTATTTGAATCATTGGTTTACAGACATTTGGTCCCATGTTCTACTCATTTAAGAGCAGAAACCACAGAGTCATAAACATCAATTTGTATAAACTCAACAGCAATAAAAAACCCTCTGCCTTCACGAATAAGTATCACTAATGTAAAAAAAATGTATTTTGGAGTTTAAATCTATAATGGTGCAGAAAAATCTTCAAAAGGAAAAGAAGAAAAATTATGAATACTGACCTGAGAGTCCTCATCTTTAAATGACCGCTGTGGAGTCTGCTTAGTATCAGACATTTCATCTGAAGACTCATTCTTTCTCTTCTGCTTTTTACCCAATGTGATTATCAGCTTGCTGTTTCAAAACAAAAGTAACACAATGTTAAGACTGTGCATATATGTTTCTATACTATTGTGCATTTTGTATTTAATGTCTGGGACACTGTCCAGGACAAAATAACTTTAATTTCCTTACTCTTTTTACTACCAGTACCATAGAGTTCCACCGTATCACAAACAAGAGGCAGAGACATAGGCCTACTTCTACTGATTTTGCCACTGACTTCAGTGGGAGCGTAGGACTGTACTCTTTGTTATTACTAAAGAACAAGGATGCAACTTTATAATAGTTAGCATTTGATACTACTACTGATTATATCCCCAAAAGCCTAGTAGAAACATCTGTATGTCTTGCCACAGGCAAATCTCTCATGCATTCCTCAACAGTGTTAATATTTTAATTGAAATATTTAAAAGTAAATTTATGATAGGAAAATGCGGGGCTGAGTTGACAGGGTCCTTTTAACTGTGAATGCAGAGCTACAATTTACCATACCTATCTCCTCCAAATTACAGTACCCCCTAGATGCAATAATTTCTCTCTCTGTGAAACATGGAACGTGTGATATATTTACTCATACAAGAAACTTTAGTTTGACAACAATAGTTATTACATGATTTAAAAGCCCATCATATAATATGCAAAATTCATAACTTCAAGTAAATTATTAGATGGGAAAAATATGAAACTGCAAACTTTGACTTTTTGCAATTTCACAAAAGCAAAAATTAGCGAAGCCTAGGTTTATCAACAATGGTTTCATCAGTAAACACGGCTGAGGACCAGAGCTGTGGGGCAAATTATAATTCTACAGGAAAAATACTAATTATTTCTTAGTTCAAATTCTGAAGTCACACAGAGAGGGGCAATATCATTATTTGTTTTTAATGATAGGGTGACAAAATACATGGCTTTTTTTCATCTTTGAAATCTGACAAGTGTTACTCTTCAAGTGTATTCAGAGGAATAATCAGAGTGATTACAATCAAAGAATCATGGATAAAATGATGTCCTTAAATATATACTTTACATAATATAGATTTGATAATTGCATACTATGTTAACAGTGAGAAAATTGCTTTAGCATACAAATATCTTCTCCCACTTCATGGCTCTAACTAAAGACAAGACTTTGGCCTTTCTTCACAGCCAGTACAATTATTTTACATCAAAGCACCCTGACAGAATGTGCACCTGAAGAAAGTAAAAAGCACTAAGAAAAAGGAGACTGACTGATTAGTCTTCAGCCTCACGTTTCCTCCTAGGAAAAGTGCAAAATAAGGCAGGCTGATCATAGCAAATACATTACATCTCCAACAGTCCACAGAGAAAATACAAACCCCGAAATCCTGAACTACCAATTCACTACTGTTAGTGACAATGCAATAGTTCCCAAAATATATAGCACCATTGCATTTCAAAAAGAGACCAACATTTTTCACCAATTATTAACATCCAACCAACAAAGCAAGTATGCTTACTGGGAGGGGGAAAAGGGCTTTTAACAAGAAGTTTTCTTTCTGCTATACAATTTTGATTTCTAGTAGAAACTGAAATGTATGCTTAATTTAAAGTGGCTGTAAACATAGGCTGGGCAATTCTAAGTTCAAGGGGAACTGCTTGCACGTGTCTGTGGGACAGAAATTGGCTCGTGGCTTCCTTACACCGCTGCCCCATCATATATTCTGTTAATTCTTATGTCCAAAAATGTTATTTTTCATTATCACAAGGAATAAATTTTAAAGAATGAACACACTGATTTTCATATTCTGTTTTCAAAAGTAGTTTGCTTTCTTCTCCTTTTGTGAATACTAACGATTGTCTATTAGCATTTATTCAAACTTGAGAAGCTGAACAAGGTAGTTTCATCCTACGATTAACTGACTTTTCCACCGTATTCCAGCTTCATTTTCCCTTCAAACACAATCCTCCAGACCTCCATGGATCACCCAAACTTGTTTATTCAACTTTCCTGGTTGATTGCCTAATGATGTCCGGAAAAGTTTTTATGGAAAAGTGTTTGACTTGGATCACTGCAACATATGGCCTAATCTAGACTAGAATTTAAGGGTATGATATCAGCATGTTAACTAGCATGTTTTAGAAGTATAGTGTAGACAAGGCACACTGCATATAACACATGCTAAACTGGTTAAGTTAAAGCAGTGGTTCTCAACCAGGGGTACATATACCCCTGGGGGTAGACAAAGGTCTTCCAGGGGTATATCTATTGATCTAGATATTTGCCTAGTTTTACAACAAGCTACTTAAAAAGAACTAGTGAAGTCAGTACAAATTAAAATGTCATACAATTACTTGTTTAAACTGCTCTATATACTATACACATCATGGAAGTACAATGTTTATAGTCTATTGATTTATAATTATATAGTAAAAATGAGAAATTAAGAATTTTTTCAGTAATAGTGTGCTGCGATACTTTTGTATTTTTATGTCTGATTTTGTAAGCAAGTAGTTTTTAAGTGAGGTGAAACTTGGGGGTATGCAAGACAAATCAGACTCCTGAAAGGGGTACAGTAGTCTGGAAAGGTTAAGAGCCACTGAGTTAAAGCCTCGACTTCCCCCCCAGGCTTCAACTAGAGCATTTTATCATGCTGAAGGCAGTCTTGTCCACATTAGACTTCTAAAACATGTTATAACATGGGGCAACATCAGACTTTTAAATCCTAGTCTAGATGATCTAGGATTGTAAAGAATGTAACAGTACCTGGGGAAATCCATGAGGTCAGAACAGTCTAAACATCTAATTCTGCCAGCCTCATGTTGAGTGGTACCTTGCTCCACAAATAATTCCATCAATTTCAATAATCCAGATTGTCCCCTTTAGATTTACACGTGGAAGAGACACTCCACACACTGATCTCCCAATGCTGTGCTGAAGTGGGATGTGTGCCAACTGCCACCTGGACACTGTCCCCCGCATCCCATATAGACTCCAAGGAGACTTCTCTGTGGATAGGTGAGGAGACTGGGAGTGCGGATGGGTTTTGTTTTGTTTTTACAGTGGGATGTTGGAGTGGTCTGGGAAGCAGCAACCATGGATAGTGAAGCTTTATTGGAGTTGTGCTGCCAAACAACCAAGAAGGGAAGAGCCAGGTGGGGGCCAGATCTGGTTCAAAAGCACAGAAGTGTCTTTCTTTGTGAATCCGTCAGCATCTGCCAGGGATTTGGGGACCATTTAAAATGTGTGTGTAATTGGGCTAGTAGCCCATAGGATAACACACACATCACAGAGCAGTGTCTAAACAGATTTAATATTTGTATACATTTATTTACATAGTCTTAACAACCAATCTTATTTTGTATCCACATGTTTTTCAGCAGACTCTTAGATATAAGAGCATTATATTTTTGTACTTTCATGGAAACCTAACATTCTGCAACTAATTTTAATCACTTGGTCAGCTAATGCCATAAAAACCACACTAGCTTCTTTTCTCTTCACAGAAGTGACACAGAGATGATTTGCTCTTGTTCACCATTTTCATACAGAAACATTTGGGATAGAAGAAGAGAAGAGTAGTAAGGGATGCAGGCTCGAATTCATAAACAATCAGTTTACCCTGGTGGCAGTCAGAAGACTAGGCATTGGTTGAAAAACAGGAATCCTACAAACTCCAGTAAATTTTCTGAAGAAATGACTAAACACATAGAAGAACCATCTTCTAGCACGGCATTCCTCCATATGCGCATTAACTCTCCTGTAAAATGAGCAGTGTAGCTACTATGTGAGATGACTGTCAGAGCTTGCTAGAAACAAGTCCTACGTCACCTGGATTTTATAACACCATGCCTGGGGTTCACGTCCTGCTTTGGTTATTTGTTGATTTTGGGAGTTGCTTGTTGTTCAGCAAAGGTATGGTCTCTTTCTCCAACCCATACTTGGCAGAGGCGGTCAAATTTTCCCCAACCCCTGCCTATCGCTGAAAAAACTAGTGGTCTGGGTGGACAGAGAGCAATATTGATGAGTTAGAACTGAGTAAGTGCGGCGGGCAGGTTCTTCTAGAACAGTGGTCTCAAAACTTTTTTGACCGTGCACCCCCTGCCGCGCCACAGGGCCTGCTCTACCATTTTTGCCGCCCCAAGCAAAAAAGCCGCTCGGACTCACCCCCGAACTGACAAAGCAAAAAAAAAAAAAAGAGCCTGAACTGACAAAGCGTCGCTGCTCCCCACTTTGGAGACCACTGACTGTACAAGAAGGATGGAACTTGAGGGCCATTTCTGACCATGAGCCAAAAAGACAGGGAACAAAGGGTAGGAATTAATGGTAAATTCTCAGAATGGAGAGGGGTAACTAGTGGTGTTCCCCAATGGTCAGTCCTCGGACCGAACCTATTCAACTTATTCATAAATGATCTGGAGAAAGGGGTAAACAGTGAGGTGGCAAAGTTTGCAGATGATACTAAACTGCTCAAGATAGTTAAGTCCAAAGCAGACTGTGAAGAACTCCAAAAAGATCTCACAAAACTAACTGATTGGGCAACAAAAAGGCAAATTAAATTTAATGTGGATAAATGTAAAGTAATGCACATTCGAAAAAATAACCCCAACTATACATACAATATGATGGGGGCTAATTTAGCTACAACAAGTCAGGAAAAAGATCTTGGGAGTCATCATGGATAGTTCTCTGAAAATGTCCACGCAGTGTGCAGAGGCGGTCAAAAAAGCAAACAGGATGTTAGGAATCATTAAAAAGGGGATAGAGAATAAGACTGAGAATATATTATTGCCCTTATATAAATCTATGGTACGACCTCATCTCGAATACTGCGTACAGATGTGGTCTCCTCATCTCAAAAAAGATATACTGGCATTAGAAAAAGTTCAGAAAAGGACAACTAAAATGATTAAGGGTTGGAACGGGTCCCATATGAGGAGAGATTAAAGAGGCTAGGACGGTTCAGCTTGGAAAAGAGGAGACTAAGGGGGGATATGATAGAGGTATATAAAATCATGAGTGATGTGGAGAAAGTGGATAAGGAAAAGTTATT